TATTCATATTGTTCTTATTTCTCTTCTTCTGTTTCAAATTCTCCCCTATGCAACTCCTTTCCAATGCTTAAGGATAACACATAATCTGTTTATAAAATATTCATAAACATAGTGATCGATACTACATTTTATTTGTATCTGAGCTGATATCCATCCAGTGCATACTGATATGAACACACTGCTTGTTGCACTCTTGTTGTCCAGGGTGGGTGCCATACCATTTTCTGTGTCACCCCCTCTCCACCCCCCATCTCATCCAGAGCCTCGTGATCATGGTGTCCAAGGGGAACCAAGACTCATGTTAACTTCCTGCTGCCAGTGTGGCCATCAAGGGGCCAGTTACCAACCCGTGGGGCAAACAGGAGATTTATTAAATCATAAATCACATAGTACACATTTTTACTTTTACTTCCAAAGCACTTTCCTTTCTACTGGTAAACACACCTAGTGTTCTTTTAGGGAACTCCACCTTTGACACCAGGTGAAATCTTGGTAGGACGACACCCAAAGTTTTCTGTCAGTTTCCCCTGTACCCTCTCAATGGGTGGGCATGCTGTTCAAACAGAACCAATCCAACTGTCACTCACCAAGGAATTCAAATCTTGGGCAAAGAAACAGTCTAAAAATAATTGAATGAATAATTAAGAAACTCAACCATTTGTCTTACTGGCACCACTCTGACAAAACTCTTAGTTTCCATCACATGCATTCTCACGTGGAGCTGTGTGTGTGCTTCCCGAGGGTGGTGCTCCTTACTCCACACCCCCAGGCATTCCACCAATCATGTCAGTGTTGCCAGTTGAATTGCGTTTTCCACAAATACATGTTGAAGTCCTAACTCACAGTACCTGTGGATGTGATCTTATTTGGAGATAAGATCTTTGTAGATGCAACTGAATTAAGATCAGGTCGTTGGAGTGGGCCCTAATCTAACCTAACTAGTGTCCTCATAAGAAGAGGAGACACAGAGACAAATACTCAGGCAATAGGTCACATGATGACAGAGGCAACAACTGGAGTAATGCGTCTATGAGCCAAGAACTGCCTAGAAAACCAGAAGCTAAGGCAGGCCAACACCTAGGTTTCAGATGTTCAGCCTCCAGAAATGTGAGGGAATAAATTCCTGCTTTTAAGCCACCCAGTTTGTGGTACTTTGTTATGTCAGCCCTAGAAAACTAAAATAGCCAGGTCTCTCTTCCAGCCTAGTCATAGTAATCCTATTTTAAGCTGCCACTTATTGATCTAAAAAATCCACGCGATTCAGCTCTGACCAATGAATCACAAGGGGAATCTCCTAAGAGTCTTCTGGAAATGGATTTTCCTCCTAAGGAAAGAGACTGGCACTTAAGAAGAGATGCATTTTCCCCACCTGCTTACCTTCTGCTGCAGAAACTGTCTTGTGGAGTATTGCAGATGTCTTGTAACCATGTGGTAAGACATCACCAACACACTGAGTATTTATCAGAAGTGGAATGACCTTGGGTACTTGTATAAACCATTGCATAAAGCCTGGAATCAGTAGACTCTGGATGTAGGTGAGCCTAAAACATACAAACAAGCAAAAAATATTACATTAGCCATTTTCTGTTGTGTATTCTACCATCTCTAGTCAAAAGCATCTTAACTATACAATAACATAATCTGGAAATTCCGTAAGTACTTCAATCCAGTACGTCAGCTGGTCAACAAGTATGGTGACAGTGATCAGATGTATGAAGGTAATCTCTGATTAGCGCAAAGACTCTGCGTGTGCTGTCTGGTGTTGGAGTACATGATGTACTTACGACGACTACAAAGTAATTACGGCTACAGATGTTGGATCAGTCATGCTGGAATCCCTAACATATTGTGAAAACTGGATTCCCCTTCAGTCTATTTCAAATATTTTCAAGGTCCTTGGGACACAGACTTTGGGTATTTTTAGGTTTTATGTGGGGGAGAATAAGAGAGAGTAAAAACTGGGACAGGGAAATAAGGAGAGAGTGACAAAAGTACATGAACATCCCTCATGTAATGCAAACTTGGGGCAGACCAAGAGTTTAATTTTGTATTCCTGAAATCTGGATATGGAGGCCTGAATCATAGCAGAGCTGCACACTAAAAACTTCGTTTTGGTAAAGAAGTCTTTTGTGCAGATTTAAAGACATTGAACTTAGTTTGGGAAGAGGCATTGTCTTGTTGAGTCAGAGAGTCCTTATCCTTTCAAGTAAACCAAGCTACACATAGGTTAGGAGTGCATTTTTCTTTCTGTCTCTTTGTGTTTGTTGAATGCCGGCATTCTTTCTCATAATTGCCCCCCCTTGCAAATCCAGATACTACGGCCATGTTCACAACAGAAAGTGGGTGGTAGGACAGAGAGGCAGCTATGTCTGCACTGATTTACCAGGAATTCCATTCCACTTCCCCCAGCAGACCTTCCTTTTAGGCTGATTAACTTCAAGTAGCCCTCAACACCACCTTCAGTTGCAAGGCAGAATGTCAAAGCAAGAAAACAGAATTCTTACGGTTGAGTAACATCAGTCATCATCTGTTATCCACCAGAAACCAAAACATGGTATTCTAAGCAAGGTAGAAAGAACAAATAGATCTGGGGTGTGCAAACAGTGGAGTCTGCCACACTAAGCATATTAATAAAAGTGTCTAGGTAGTTCCTTATCTGAACATTTTGGTTAACACAAACTTCCTTTGCCACAATTTCACATACAGTCAGAAGAGAGTTAACGTTATCTGCATGACCTAGATGAGCTCAGATAAAATAAAAACACCGATGGATGTGTTTTAATGGCTAGGCTAGTGCTTATTTGCATGTTGGTTTTTGAAAACGTAAAGGCTTTTTAATATAAAACCTGAGGCACTACTAGCGTGGGGCAAAAACACTTTGAATTTACTAGATGTTGAGTTTAGTATTATAGAAAAGTATCATACGGAACGGTGTGGAATTGGATATAGATGTTTACTTAATAAGATTTCAGTGTGTATAAATATATAAATAAATGTATATTTGTTATGCTATTATATTGTATTTGGAGTATCTTAGTTGCTGAGTTATCTTTTCTGGTCATGCTTTATTTTTATCACAGGCAGTTTTTCATATTGCCCTATTATCATAGGAATACTTCCTACAGAGAAAACGTGCTTAAGCCATTATGGTAAATGTATGGTAAGCACTATATCTCATGTTATGGCTTGCTGTATGATTTATCCTATCAAGTGTGAAAACAAAGGATGAATTATGTCCTCTTTATATAATATTTATTTTAAATTCTGTAAAGTGCATTGTATTTACTTCCTCGGACTCTGTTTTCTCCCCATTATTTTCAATCATAGTAAATATTTGCACTTGTAGGCTGCCTGCAACTCCCATGTGCTGGAGAGTGAATAGATAAAAAGATGAAATGATAGAGGAAGAACGAAATTTAGCATCCACCTCCATGCAAATGCAATGCACAGAAAAGACTCTGATTTATGTTTCTATTATGTGAAATGAGGATTTCAATTCTAGCTTTTCACAACTTCAAGGAACTGCTGTTTACCAAGGCAGAGTCATGGGGCTCACAAAGCAGCTGTGTGGCTCTGTAACCATCTGAAGTCCAGCTGTGACTGTGGACTGTCAAGCATAGCAGGATGTAGGGAAACTTTCCGGAGACCGTTTCCGGTGTCTATGCTCAAATTCAGCCCAGGAAGGTTTTCTGAAAAATTAGAGATGCTGACTCAGCTTGCTGCCTCCATGCTGTGCCGGCAAAATTTGTCTTTTTGAAAAATAACATTGGCTAAAAATGCCAGGTATAATTATCACTTATAAATCAAGCCTAGGAAGTCCACTTTATTCACAGATATAAAATTAGAAGTATTTATATGTATCATTCACCTTCTACAAGCTATCAGAACACCCCATGACCTGGTGAGAAAAGAAGGTGAATGTTGAGAAGTTACCAATCTGATCCATGTATATAAATCACTGCTAGGCTAGATAAATGAAGGTGATCTGACTCTGAGAAAGTAAGTGTAATTACCTTCTGAAAGTCCCAAGTAAAAGCCATGTTTTCAGCAATGTTTAGACAATGGGGGAGGGTAAACAATTTGCCTAAAACCAATCTGTGAAATGACCAATTCTCATCAAACTATCAAAAATATGTTAAATCTAGTCCAGAATATGTTATAGCTGTTTATTGCCAGGGCATGAGCAGGGCCAAGGACAGGTAAGGAGGCAGGAAGAGATCTGAGTGCAAATGCAAGGGCCAGGATGGCCTCAGGGGCAGGAAACGATGAATCGGCAGAGGGTTCTCAAGATTAAAGAGGAAAGTTTGTGTTTATGGAAAAGCGTCACCCATTCTTAGAAAATGTTCATAAATGAGGAAATGCTAGGTATAGAAAATCAGTCCTTCCCGTAAATTCAATATTTGGCAAGTTGATTTTCACTGAAATGGCTTTTGGCAAATTGATGTTGGCTGAGTTCAATGGTGTCAAAAAACACTTAATACTTTGGATTAAACTTTTCTTTGGGAAAGCATGGGAAGTATTCCTTGCAGTAGCATGAATGACGTTAATCTAATCCAATCAACAGCTGGCTCTGCACTAGAAGAGAGGGTGGGAGGTCAAGCTGACCTGGGAGGAAGGGAAGGGATATTTGATTTCAGGGCTTCTACAGGTGGCGACTGATTGTGAATAACAAAAAAAGGTAGAGAACAAACTAAACGTCTGGTAATAGGGCAATAATATACGGAATACAGATTTAGGCACTTATGTGATAATGAGTATTTATCAACACAGAAAGATACACTATATAATAGACTGTGAGAGCAGAAATGATCTGATTGGCTCATTATTAAACTTAGCACAGTACCTAGCATAAAGGAAAATAAATCAAATTACCATAGATAATATGAAATACCACTTTTTTTTAATTGAAAGGAAATTTCCTAAGGTTTTTAACAGGGCTAAGTATTTTTAAGTATTTATCTATAATTTCTACCTTACAGCGATGAACACATTTTAATCTTTAGAGAAAAAATAAAATTCAACTAATGGAATTCCACTGTCCTGAAACAGTTTGCAAATGTCTTCTTGTTTTTTGGTATCCTTGAATTCAGATTGTATAGGTGATCCTTTTTTGCCATTTGGCTAATATATTCCATTGGACATAGTGACCAATCATGACTCCCTACCCCAACACCACAAGAAAAAAAAAAGCTCCATATAGTCATCCTGTAACTGATACTTAAGAAGAGGTATGTTGCATGTAGCATTCTGCTTAGATCTGCTGAAAGCATGCAGAACAAGATGGCCTCCGTTACCTTCTGCTTTCGTATTTATTTTATACATTTATATATATTATATATATATTGCTGTGGAAAGGCCACCAAAGTGGGTACTGCATATTAGATAAGTGGTGACTATCAATAAGTTAGGAAACAGAAGCTTTGCTCAAAGAATCCTTTCGGACAGGAGGTGAGAATACAGTAGTTTAAGGTGCTGGAAAATACCCCTTATAAAATAATAGTTACTCAGAAATCATCGTTAGCATGTGGATTTTGGTACAGAGGTTCATTCATACTTAAAAATGGTTTGTTACACTTATTCTTTACCCAATCTCAGCTTCTAAATGTGTCTGCAGGTTTCTTAGGTAAAATTTGGTTTAGTAGAAATCTTAATTTGGTTGGAATGCTTTCCTTAGTTCCAAAGTATTAAGATATTCTCCTAAGTGATTTTATTGTGAAATAATAAAATCCCTTCCCGCTCTAACCTTTATCTTTGTTCAAGGGAAGAATATTTATATATTGCCACCTTTTCACACACAGTGATTATTTAAAGAAAGACGTTTGCATAAGAATCCATCTGGTTCAAGTGTATAGGAATATTTCCTTTCCTCACATAGGTTCTTTTTTTTTTTGAAAAAAAATTATCCATAGGGGAAAAAAAAAGATAGATGTTTCTATTAGAAAAGAACCTCTGGGCTTGGTCTGGAGGTAGGAGAGTGAGAAATGGAACGAGTGATGTTCTACATAATAATGCAACGACTTCTATCAAGCATCAACGGGAAACTAAGTTTGAAGTGACAAAGTGCGCCCTCCATTATTCTCCCAGGAAATAAGCTGAGGACCTGGTGGCCTCATAAATGCTTGTGTGAGTGAAAGAACCAACTCTAGGGCAACAGCAGTCCTTGAAGGAAAGGAGTGAAGATGTTCACTCTGAAGGATTAAAAGCAAAAGCCCCACATTATCTTCTCCATTATTATGATCTTTTCCTTTTGTTCATCTTATTTTCTTCATAGTATTCGTCCTTATAGAAAAAAATATGGATTGCTTATTTCTTGTTCATTGTTTGTCCCCTCCCTGAATTAAAATGTAAGCTTTGTGGAAATAAGGGTTCTGTCTAGGCTCATTGTTGATCTATCCCTTTCCCTCTAAAGGTGCTTGGAACAAAGTAGTTGCTCAATAAATGTTTTCCATTTGAATGTAGGAATAAGTAATACTATGAAGGGTTAAGAAATAGGGCGATTAAGACTTGCCGAGGTCAGAGCCATCATTCACCTCTTAGACATCTTAC